TGAAGAAAAGAAGCAAAAGCATAATCGCAGAAGAAAAATAAATTAGTCAGCTAAGACTAAAGAAAAGAAAAGTTTGTTTATTTTTCTATGCATAAAGAAAAGGTTGAAACCAAACTCGCTAATGCGTAAGCTTCTCTGATCGGCCTTGTGAGCTCCTGTAAGCTGAGTCGAGCTCTAACCAGCTGGTGCACTTCACTGAAGGACTCAACTTTTCTTCAGAGGCCACTAATTCGATTTATTGACCTATGCAACGATGTAGTCAGATCCAAGCTCTTATATCTCTATAAGAGCAATTTATATCGATGTGAAAGATTTTATGCTGTAGAGAGAGAAAAGTGTTCCACAACTTCCTTATTTTGGAACCTTTTATCCGATAAGAATATTTTTAATGTAAAACTCTAATATTGGTTAATTTTCCCAACGGAATAAAACTGGATAGTAGCAGTTGCTGTTATAAATATGAAGCTTAGATATGAAGTTTACACACATTTGTGGAGGTTCAATTAGGGATTTTTCGCAACTATACACAACTCCGAAATAAATTATGGATTGATAGCGGTGAAAAAAAAGTTTTTTATTTATTGGATATTTTCACATACACTGAAAAATTCCGAATCAATTCCAGTTAAAAGTACCGGCACTCAGAAGAATAATGTATAATGCAGAAAAAATAACGCATTCATTGCATTTTTTACCTACCTTGAAAAAATCTGGATCAAATTACGGTTAAAAATACCGGCACTCAGAGGAATAATGCATAAAGCAAAAAGAATAATGCCTTAATTCAATTTTTTCGCCTACATATCAAAACAATAAATCTGGATCAAATCACGGTAAAAAGTACCGGCACTCAGAAAGAATAATGCATTCATTTAATTTTTTCACTTACATAGAAATAAAAAAAAAATCCGAATCAAGTTAAGGTAAACCGGCATTTCGAGAGTCTGTATTTTTAACCTTAAAATCTATTTTTACCGAAACATTTAACAAAGCCAGAAACTGATAAAACAGTCATAATTACTGTAAAAATCACTCAATCACTCCAATTAAATAAATATTTCTATAAAAAGTACTATTTAATATCTTATTGTAAAAGTGGATTTAACAGACAAAGATTTAACACCGAAAGTACCGGTACTTTATGCCGTAATTTGATCCATTTTGTTTTACAGTATATATAAAACCACGAAGCAAAATTCCATCTCTCATATCTGTATAACTGCTATTTATATTTATATCAGTTATTATTATTAATATTGAAAGCATGATATTTTTTAAAAAAAATTTCATATGCATAAGATTTAAATAAGAGTGAATTCAATTTTTAAGAAGTAAAATTTATTTTCAAACAATTGTTTTCTTTAAAATATAACCTAAGCCCTTTAATATTTTTCATCAAGTAGTAAAGTGTGACTATAATAAAATTCATAATATTTATCATTCTGGCTCATGGAGCTGTAAATAAATCTAAGTAGAAAAGCTATTGATCTACTTAGATTTTTATATTATTACAAAAAAAAAATTAATTATTATAAAAATTCCATTTTCTTGAAAGTTTTTTAATCCCTTTTCTGTATTTTTATTTAATAACTCTTTCCCGTTTCTAGCTGAGTAATATTTAGGGAAGACTTCAATTAATTATTTTGCCAACATGTCAAACCCATTCTATTTTGTTAAATAAACACAGAACAAAAAGTTTACATTTTTCCAGTTTTTCCACCTAGTTTGATAAGCTAATTAAACTTTTCATAACTGAAACTAATTAGCTTCATTTTCTTCACCCCAAAACTAAAGTTGTGGCAGCAGAGTTAAGCTCATACTTACTTTTTCGATGGCTAATATTTTAGTTTTCGAGTTTAACGTCTTTTAGCGAAAAAAATATAAATTAGCATATTTTTTTGGACGGGTATTATATAAAAAGTAAAATTCAATTAATTAAGTTTAAAAACATTAAGTCCCACCAGTTTTTAAGTTTTTAGTTCGTTTTCTCTTATGGCTGAGTAGGATAATTCAAATAATGCAATCAAAAGTTGAAGTCTCTGTTAAATTAATGGTTTTCTTGGAGGGAAAAGTTCCAGGTATCCCAAAGGAGCAGGTAAATTAGTTTTATGCAAATCAACTGTAAAATTAAGCGCATGGCCGGGAAGCTGCTCCACTACAAAATGTTTAAGCAAATGGGTGAAATTTTGTTTTTATATTTTCTTCGTTCTTCCCCTTTGTAAGAAAAATCGATTTTTACTTATTCAGATCAATAAAAGCACTATAATCAATTTTATAAAAGTTATCAATTTTTTTACGAAGTTTGTACCTGTTATCAATTTTATTTCGACATTTTTGCCGTTTCTAGCCAATAAACTATCATTGATAAACTCTAGTTCACTTTTTATTTTTCTTTGTAACGATATTGATATTTGCTTGTAACGGAAACTAATTAAGGTTTGTAACAACAATCTTTAGAGGTTTAATCCAGTACCATCAGTGCTTAAAAGGTACCATTTTCTTTGAAAGAGCAAAAAAAAAATTGTTTTCATTAACTGCAATTTTTCTTGCATTTTTACCGATATAAATTAACAAGAATTTGATTTTCTTGCGGAAAAAACTTGAACTTATTGATATTTACAAACAATTCAAAATAATACAATAAGTTTTCAAGAGAAATGGTTCTTTTAAATAGAATATTAAATTTGAAAAAAACAAAATAATCCAAGCATTATTTCGAAAGAGAAAAAAAATATTGCCGCGTTTATTTTTACGGTGTTGAAAGGAGAAGACTAATTTTTACTGACAACTTTGATTTTAGTTCAATAAAACTGAAATTGTAAAATTTAAAAAAAAGTTTAAATAGTTTTAAGAGTTTGAAAAAGCAGGTTAAACTAAATAAATTAACAAAATTTGTTTTTAATACTTAGTATATCATTTACCAATTCTCAGTACATTTATTCAATATTCGTCGTTAAAAATAAACATTTATTACAATTTTAATATTGGTTTATTTGAATTCAAACCTCATTTAATTGAATAAATTAAAATATTTGCTCAAAATAAGACACATTATCGTAATATGTAGTAACTGAAGGCACACAGGTTAAATGTAAAATAAAGTTTTGAAAAAAAAATTTCAATAATAATTTCGAAACAAATAATTTCTGAATTTCGGCAAAGGTAAACTTTTCGCGGTCAATAAGAAATTTCCTTCATCAATTAGTGTGAGTATCATTCCCAATTCTCAGTACATTCATTTGCTACTCACTGTTAAAATTAAACATTGTTTTTAATATAATGTTAATATTGGTATAGTATAAATTCAAACCTGATTTAATTAAATATATTAGCATATTTAGAACAAAATAAGGTGAAAATCGTAATATGTAATTTATAATAATTTCTGAAAACAGTTAAACTGCTACCGGCTTAAGATCAAAACGATATTTTTTTAATTATTTTTCAGGTTAAAAAAAGTTGAAAATTTGATTTAAAAAAGCACTGCAATAGAATATCTTTTAAGAAGTTCTCTTTTGTCAATGAACGCATGTGAAATTTGAATTTTAAAACTTGTGTTGCTGAATTTGACTTTTAATATATAGAATGATTCTTCAAATAATTTATTTCTGAACTAATTGTCCAGAATTATAACTCGCTAAGGAATAATTTTCTTGCGTTTTTTTACACTTAATTATTGAGCAGTATTAAGAGTAGTTCAGATTCTAAATTCATACAAAATTGAAACAAAACGTTTTTTAAAAAAAAGTAGAATGTGAAGTATTTCTATTGCACCTCATTGAGAACCAGCTGTGGACTTAATGACAATCTGCATTCACTCTCAGAAGTAGAATTCTAACTTTTGACAATTTCGCAATCGTTGACATATATTCGAAATCACGTAATCTGTGACTAAACGTGGAATTTCGTGCATATGATGAAAATGTTTCCTCAACTCGAAGCTTTATCGCCGGGCATTGTGGGAGATAATTAACTATAATGACGAAACTAGAACGAAGACTGAATCAGAAATGAAGAGATGGAACAATCCGGCCAGGCTGTATGATGATAAAGGAGCAAACTTTGAGTCAGGAATATTACGGGTTCAAATCCCACTTCGGGAAAGACTTTAATTTATCTCCTTGATCTATCTCTCCTTTTTTTGAAGCTTAGGTGACATTTATCCACCCCCATGTTGCCAAAGATAAACCCAGTGACTGTTCTGCCATCACCTCCTACATCAGAAAGCATCCACACGGTTTTTTATAAGTAGTCTGCGCAGACTATTTAAAAAGTGAACCGGTTGCGCGTTTGAACCCAAATTCTATTTTAAAAGTGACTGAGGAAAATTTATCAAATATATTTGAGAATTGAATCTGTAGTGGTAGACAAGTAAACAAGACAAACCGATCATATTCATAAATTTAACAAATTTTTAGACATATTTTCAGCCACTTTCTTATTTTTAGTAGATTTTCTATTGAAAGTCTCTTTCGTAAACTGGTTTACCTTCATAGTGGTCTGATCGAACTACCTAGAGCCGTGTGGATGTCTTTCAGTAATAGGAGGCGTTGGTTCTGCACGTAAAATGTCATCTTTTAACATAGTCTTCTCTGGGTAGCAAAATCGGTTTTCCCTGTTATTAGATAGGAAAATAGTGTATTGTTGAAAATCATTCTTCCGATTTCAACCATTTGCTAAATCGCCAGTGGGTAAAGTAATTATCAGAAAAGTTTGATACATTAGACACAGACAAGATTTTTTTTCTTTTTAAAAAAAAATAGAATGACGAAATATACATATATATTTTTAATTTTGTTGAAATATGTTTCTTCGAAGAAGTTGCCACAGTTATTTCATCATTTAGACAAAGTTTTTGCTCGGAGCATATACCAGGACATAGTACCGTCAGAAACGAAGAAATATTCGTGAAATTTGAGTATATATTTCTTAAAGTGTACTAATTTGACTTACAAACATAAACTATTTATGAAAATATGATAATAATATCATAAACTTACGTAAGACGGTGATAGATACTGTAGCTCTCGAAATCCCATGGCGATTCATCACAACACAAGTGTAGTTACCACCCATAGCTCTGGACAAGGACGAATTGAATGAAAGGACGGGTCCACGAGCTACCATTTTTCCATCCACCTGCCATTCATAATCAGCCAACGGATGAGCCGATGCGCTACAGACCAGATCATCCAATATCTCTCCCTCCATAACCTCCAATCTAACTGCTGATATCTGGATGTTTTCTGGAGGATCTAGCAAAAAATAAAAATAGTTTATTTTATAAGTTTGATAAGTTTAAGTTCGTTTTAAGAAACGTAGGATCGATGATTTATTGAAAACGATTCATGAATTGAATTTATTTATAACGCGTCGAATCATAGTTATTGAATCTACTTATGATACATCGAATCATAGGTATTGAATCTATTTATAAAGGATCAAATCATTGCTATTGAATCTAATTATGATACACCGAATTATAGGTATGTCGTATAATGTAGAATTGTCAAGTTACTCTAAACCCTATCATTACTTAGCACGTCTAAATTTCTGTTTGGAAAATCCATCTTATATCAGGTTCAAGAAATATGGTAAATTGAAGCAAGGTGTTTCCGTACATAAAAAAACTAGTATTTTTATTAATCAAAACTATCTTAAATTTCTTAATACTACTATGTTTTCGTCAATTATTGTCATAATTTGAACTTGTTTAGGCCAAATATTATTTATTGTACTGAAATAATTTGGTGACGAAAGTAGCGTTCCAAACAAGTCTGTTACGTAGTTTTCAAAAATATACATAAGCAGATAAATAAAAGTACTAATTCAAATGCGTATGCTTAACCAAATGCCAATTTAAAAGTGCCTTTAGCACTGCTGAAGTCTAATGGTAGAGGAGTTACTTTGAAATTCTCATTCCTCATCACATGCCCTATAGCCATTTCAAGTTTTTCAAATATATCTTTTAATTTTCATTTATAAGTTAAATTTGATAACTATATCAAATTAAATATTTGATCTATGACAAAAGTATTTTGAAAGTTGTTTCTGCAGTTACAGATTATAATTAGAAAGCCAGTCCCATGCACCTTTAAACAAGTTTCTTTGCAGAAACCAAAACATATTTAATTTAATTGCCGGTTTCCTTATAATTCTCTTGGTGCTTTATGGGGCAAAGGAAAAAAAGGGGTGTGAATATTTTAAATTAGTTGAAACTAGCAATAAAATTTTTTCTTTTCTTTACATCAATTATACAAGTATTTCACGTTGATATGGGTCTCGTGCAATATTTATTTTCTTTCTTCTTAAAAGAAATCTAAAAAATGATACAGGAATTATTTCACTTATATGATTTATTTCTGAAAGTATTTTTTTGTTTGCAAATATTGACAAATAAAATGTTTTGTATTTATGTTTATTTATTTTTTAAGTAATACTAATTACTTTAAAAACATCCTGCACTTTGATACGGGATGCTATTTTCGAGATTGCTTTGTAGAGATATGAATTCTGAAATATTCTACAGTGTACATCATTTCAAATTACATCTTGAATTGTGGATCAAAATCATACTTTATAACAAATGCTGATTTCCTTGAATATCATATTTACATTTTCGTGAATAATGATATCATATTTACATTGCATACATGATACGATTGTTTTCCAAAAAATCTATCTATATTACTATAACTTTCCAATCATTAAGATATTTGAATAATTTGACAATAATATCACAATATAGTGGATCTGAGTTAAAAAGTTTGATATACAAATATAATGAAAGGTTAAAACATCATTATGATAATAAGAAGGCTATAAATGTCAGTTGGGACTTTACTTTAAAAAATTTATATTTTATGATATAGAAGTTACCAGACAAAAATAACCAAATTCTCAAGATTTTATGTTTGGTATAATTAAAACAAATTGAAACAAATATTTAACAAAACTATATTAAATTAAATATTTTATTTCTTTTAAATAAGTTTATCTAAAAGATCCTTTAAAATATTATGTTTACCACGAGAAGATTAGAAAAACATTTCTTATTTTGAAAGCAAGTATAAACCTTTTCAAGTATTCTTATTCCATCAAAAAGCTTAAACTTTTATGATGTGCCATTATTTCTCCCTGCATACTATGCGTCACAGTGTCGAAAGTTTAGGATTACAAATCATAGGATTTTCCAAAAATTATGAAGAAGGAATTAAAAAATAAAAGTTCTAAGACCGAACGTGCAGGAACATCTAAACGTTGCATTTCCGAACTTCTGAAAAAGAAATTCAATAGCGTCGGACTTCAAAGGAGCAATATATCCTTTGAAATATCTTTTTCCCCAGACTTACGCGTATTCAAAAGGCTACCAGGAGCGATTCAATGCATTTGGATTATCGGTAAGCATCCACGTCTTTCTGCTCTATGGATTAAAATCACGGGAAATAGTTTTAAAATTCTGTAAGGGACCTTTTAAGAAATATATATCCTTTACTTCTAATCTGTATTCAAGTTGAATATTCTCCATGATAGATAAATATAGAGCTTTATGTCAGACATTTTTCATGTTGTGTGTATGCATCAGGTCGGTGAGAATTTTCTTTTGCATTTTTTTTAGATGAGTTTGTGTTAATAATGTTGAATTAAGAACATATATTTTTTGAAAAATACTAGGGGCTATCAGAAAAGTATATTTTTTCTATATAATCAAACTTTGCATGCACTCATTCTTAGAAATGGAAACTCTAAAGTTCTCCATAACTCAGAAATTCTATAGTTTTTTTCTGTACTTTTTGAGATATTTTCTTACGAAATCAGCGATGTTTGATAAAACATGATATTCAATTTGTTGGGAACTACCTTACCTCGTGTGTCACCGTGTTTAAGTTTCTGTTGGTAAACGTTATTGTGAAAAGTTTTCTATACTGTAACGCTTATCTTTCATGTAATTACATGGGGGAGATAATAAAGATTAAAAAATAAAACAATTGACCATGGTCTAGCATTCTTTTCATTCATCCTGTCGCTTCGAGCCGTTTCGCTATATATATTGTGCTGTGAAACATGATGATGGAACCCTTGCGAAATAGGTTTCGAGATTTCTGCTTTTGGCTATAACTGCGTATTTTCTCGCGCAAGATTTTTATTAAATTAATGCCGCATTTTAAAATAATTTGTGCTTATTGATAATTTTACATTAAATCTTATGCGTTACATGAAGAGAAAAACTATGAAAACCTTCCACGGTTGATATTTGATATTTTTCCTAAGCACTGAAGTCATTGCAAGCCAAGTGCGGAATTCTTGTCGACCAACCATCACTCAGATTCGAACCCGGCTAACCTTACTATTATATTGCTGCAATCGAGTTTTTAAATGATTACAATACTACACCGTGATGGCTACGCAGATAGAGCACTCGCTTTCCTTTTGGATGAACCGGGTTCAAATCGCAGCTATAGGTAATCGATGAGAATTCGCACCCGACAGGCATTGATCACAGTGCTGACGTGAAATATCCTCGTTAGTTGACGGATCATTTGTTAGATTCCCCTTGCCATCAGGCTAACCGTGGGTGCTTTTTGGGTTTTTTTCCCTCCATATAACGCAAATGTGGCTTAGTTTTATCACAAAAGTCCTCCACAAATGTAAATTTTCCGGGAGTTCCCTTGTCTTGTGCATTTTGTTCAAAATTACAAGGCTGTGGATTGAGTTGAACATTGGTAATCGTAAACTCCAAATTAGGACGGCTTTTCAACGATGGTTCCAAAATAAAATTTAAAAATCACTCCCTATTTTGCTAAATTATATGCATTTTATTGAATCTTAGATAATCTACTATCAAAAAATTTGTTTGAAAGCATGAAGATTTCATGGTATTTTTTCCATCCATGTTTTCCTTAACATTAAATTTAATGTTTCAAATTATTTATGATTATTTGTATAAAAAAATTATCTTTCAAATAAGTAACGTTAATTCAAAGTTAATCAAGAAAAAAAAAGAGGATTTATAGAATGTTCACTGTTTTAATATTTTTTTCTGACTATCCAAGAGAATGACATATTTACCATCAAATGATTCCTTTAGATTGTGATTTGAACTCTATGACATTAGCCCTATTTATTCAATAAATTATAATTTATTCTCATAGCCAAATAAAAAATATATATTTTCAAAGTTATATGATGATAAAAATCTTTATTTATTTAATTTTTCTTTTGATAGTGACAATGATCCAAATTTTTAGCAGAACAGTTTTAAACTTGATAGTTAGAATTTATCATATAATTCCCTATAAGGACCATAAACCAATCTAACTAGCAAATTTACTTAAAAGAGCATTCATTAATTCAAAATTTAGCAACCAAACTTTCGCATCATTACTTTTAACTGTCAAGAAAAGTATAAGTTAAAATTCTTTTTCAATATGTTTAAATATCTTTATCTTATACCAATGATTATATTTGTGAAAAATAATGAAGTATAAAATATTTTCAATTAAATATTAAAATATTTCACTTGATCTCAATGATAATGAAAAAAAAAATTTTCGTAATGTTTTTTGTAAACATTTGTCGCAAAAAATGCCTATAAATATTCTTTTGCATATTTATTATTCATAACAAAACAAGTTTTACTGTTAATATAATTTAGATTTACTCTCATAAAAATGAGTTTACAGATTTCATAACGGTTGTTAATTAGTCTTCAAATCAAAATAATTCTTTCTACTATAAAATGCACCATACATTTATTTTAATTTGAATTTATTCTTTTCAAACTTTTTCAGGTCTTTCAACAGTGATTATGTTAGATTTACCAAAACATAGGCTGAAAATAGGTTTTTCATTATTCAATAATTATCTTATTCATTTTCTTATTTATTTGTATTTTATATTTCTTTGTTCTCATTATTCCAATTTTCATTATTTATATTACAAGGCACTTCCTTAGATAAATGAAAATAAATGAAATGAAGAAAAATAACAATTGAATTTAATTTTCATAAATCTTTTGCAATATCTCGAGAGCAATATCTTTGCATTAGAGCGTTATAACAAAAGAAGTTTTAATCAAAATTCTTTAATTTGTTTACTTCCGAGTTCTTTAGTTTTAACTGTAAAAAATTTTAAAACTCTGAAAAAGATTCAATTGCTTAGAAAAATAAAAAAATAAGTTAAATTTGGTTATGAATGCATTAGTTACGATTAAAAACACAACTTTTATAGTTCAAAACTATAAAATATGGTTAACATTCTACAAGGAAGTATGCTATACAATTTTTTTACATTTCAACATCTTCATTTCTGTAAACGTATTTTTAAATTTTTATGTTCTTTTGAAAAAAAGAAATATTTTAATTTTGTTAGATATAGTATAATAATTCTTAGTTTTATTTCAAGTTGAATGAAAAATATCTGAAATGGTAAGGTGGCCATGCATTTTTACAACTTGAAAGGAAGTATGAATTAAAAACCTCTCTCTCCAATAAAAAATTTAAAATTAAGAAGAAAAAAAATTATGAATAAAAAATTAAATTCGTAATTTTAATTATTTTAGTCATAATTTTTAATATTTTCTCGTATTAATTTTGTTTCTGTAATGTTTTAATAATAACTGCATAATTTTATATAGTGATCGCCCCCCCTTACCTTTTAACAATATCAAAGATTTCTAAGTAATTTAGTCTAAAGCCTGGAATATTTCATTAAAGTAAAAATTCTTTTTCAGAATCTCATAAGTTTTAAGATTTTAATGGGGTTTTAACANTTTCAGGTCTTTCAACAGTGATTATGTTAGATTTACCAAAACATAGGCTGAAAATAGGTTTTTCATTATTCAATAATTATCTTATTCATTTTCTTATTTATTTGTATTTTATATTTCTTTGTTCTCATTATTCCAATTTTCATTATTTATATTACAAGGCACTTCCTTAGATAAATGAAAATAAATGAAATGAAGAAAAATAACAATTGAATTTAATTTTCATAAATCTTTTGCAATATCTCGAGAGCAATATCTTTGCATTAGAGCGTTATAACAAAAGAAGTTTTAATCAAAATTCTTTAATTTGTTTACTTCCGAGTTCTTTAGTTTTAACTGTAAAAAATTTTAAAACTCTGAAAAAGATTCAATTGCTTAGAAAAATAAAAAAATAAGTTAAATTTGGTTATGAATGCATTAGTTACGATTAAAAACACAACTTTTATAGTTCAAAACTATAAAATATGGTTAACATTCTACAAGGAAGTATGCTATACAATTTTTTTACATTTCAACATCTTCATTTCTGTAAACGTATTTTTAAATTTTTATGTCCTTTTGAAAAAAAGAAATATTTTAATTTTGTTAGATATATAATAATTCTTAGAGTTTTATTTCAAGTTGAATGAAAAATATCCGAAATAGTAAGGTGGTCATGCATTTTTACAACTTGATAAGAAGCATATATTAAAAACATCTCTCTAAAAAAAATCAAAAAAAAATTTATGAATAAAAAATTAATTTCGTAATTTTAATTATTTTAGTCATAATTTTTAATATTTTCTCGTATTAAGTTTGTTTCTGTAATGTTTTAATAATAATTGCATAATTTTAAATAGTGATTACGTTTTAACAATATCAAAGATTTCTAAGTAATTTAGTCTAAAGCCTGGAATATTTCATTAAAGTAAAAATTCTTTTTCAGAATCTCATAAGTTTTAAGATTTTAATGGGGTTTTGTAACAATTTACTGCATGATAAATATATTGATTCATTTTTACTTTTTTAAAGGAGTTTATAATAGCGTAATCTCAATTTTGGAATACTTTTTTTCGAAAATATAGAACATCCACTAATAAAAATGACCTCGTTGACCTATTTGATTAGTAATTGTTCTCTAAAAATTTTTTGCCAAGAAGTATACAGTAATTTAATTTTTAAATTGAAAATGCGTAAAAAATGTATATAGATCTCGATAACACTTCAATACTTATTGCATTTGCAACAATTTCTGGGAGGTGGAAAAAATCTAAACACTCTACACTTTATTTTAAAAGAGCTATTTGTTTTTAAAAAAAATATCTTTTCTTAGTGCAACTGTAGTATTGTAAAAAAGAATACTGATTGAAATAACATGGTTTTATTTGTGTGAATCATGTTCAACAGTAAATAGGTCATATAAATGGTCTCACTTTTGTCTTATATTACAAAAAAATGGTATTTAATGCTTTTCTTTTCAAAAAAATTAGAACACCTGCCGTTCTAAAGAAAACTAAGCATTTATCTCTTACAAAGTGTTTATTGCTAATCAATACAACGTAAGTTTTATTTATCGCAGCTTAAATAAAATATATTTTTATTTAGATTTACATAGATTAATCTATATTTGCTCTTCGTTTTACTTTAACTTTCAATTATAGTTTTAGAAACTTTTAGAAATACTTTTAGAAATAAGATACTTATCACGTTACACTTTTATAAGTTATACTTGTAAAAATTAAATACTTTTTTAAGAAAAAAATATTTTCATTAGTGCAACTGTAGTATTGTAGAAAATAATACTAAATGGAATAACATAATATTAATTGCGCTGATTATATGTAAACATTAAATGAAATTTAGCAATGGCTTACCTTTAACTTATGTCAGAAAGAAAACTGCATTTATTACTTTCCTTCAAAAATATTGAGCACCCGGCATTAAAAACGAATTTGATTAACAATTGTTCACCAAATGGTTGCTGCTAAATAGTAGTAAGTAATAAGGCTTCTTACTTATCATCACGTAAATAAAATATAAGCTTCATTTAGATTTCAATAACATTTTAATGTATATTGAGTTTCGTTTGCAATAATTGGCAAGGGTAGGGTGAAGAAATATATAACTGTTTCAAAGTTTAGTGCAACTGCAATGTTGCAGAAAAGGAATAACATGAATTTAATCGCATTGATTACATGTCAACATTAAATAAGACTTAGAAATGGCTGACGTTTGACTTACATTCCACTCGAAATGCCATTGTACTAGACACTCCAGCACCAATCTCGTTCCCCGAACTCCTGCAGGTAAAGGTAGCATAATCGAAGCTGTTGACAGGCAGCAAGCTCATATTCCAGGTAAGCACTGAACTAATGGAAGTGAAGAGGTTTCTCCTGGGATCTGGTCGGTGATGGGACAGCTTGCTCTCGAACACGATCGAATCTCTCAGGCTCTCGTTATTCCTCAACCACTCTAATTCACAGAGTGGATGACACTCTACGTGGCAGGACAGTTGGACGTTGGTGGTATTTCGAAGGACACCACCTTTTTCAGGTAGTTTGCGAACGAAGGATGGTGGTGCTGCAAAACATTACAACGTTTAGCGCTGTTACCATAAGAAATAGTGAAAAAGTTGTAAAAAGACAAATATGTCGTTTGAAAAGTTATTGTTTACTTAGTTTCGAAATCATTATTGGGAAGTAATTTCGTCTATAATAATAAAGGTTTTAACTAATAATTAAAATCAGATAATTTTGAATTATAATTAAATTTAAAATTATTTGATTTTAATTATTTATGAAAGATTTTAGCTTCTTAATTGAATAATTGATACACATATGTGATAGGACCAGAATCCAGAATACGTAATTTGAGATAAATTTATTAAGGTAAGCAGGTGCTCATTTACGCGACTTTCACGTTATTTGTGTCCTTTCTAAGTTTATATACATTGTTAAAGTTTGGCGTAGTATAGCCGATGTCGGGTTGTATGAGGTACATAACTCAAAATTTAAATCTTGTAGTTGGTATCTACAAATGTGGAATACATCACGTGTGGAGTTAAAACTAAAACTGTCGGGTTTTTGTTATAGAAATGATACAGTGCAAATATTTTGGACAGTCTTTATATAAATAGATTTCGAAATAATTGCTAAACAAGTTGAAAAAGTAATTTCTATTAAGCAATATTTTTAACCAGCCATAATTGTTTTAAAAAGTTTAATGGTTTTGTATGCAATTTTGAAACTTACATACACAGATTAATATATTTTTTATTAAAGGAAAATTGATAAAAAATTTAATTTTTTTATCTGAAACGCTTTTAAGAAAATTTTAATTAAAATCGCAAAATATTGCCTTTTATTGGCCTTAATGATGATTATACGTAGTATATATGCGTATATTTTAATCATTTCTTATATATTTTATTACCTACAATTATACAAAGTTTTTAATATTTCTGACTGATTTCTTTAATGTATATATACGTATATATGTAATTTTATCATCAATTTATCAACTATTTTTATAGTATCATCAATTATTTCATAGAATATTCTATTGTATAAATCTTTTATAAAATTTATCAAATAAAATTGTCAAGACTGTAACAATGATTTATTTAGATAAAAAAAATTACTGTCACGCAATGATTAATCTATACCCATACAAAACAAATATATTCTTCTTGCAAAGACATTTAATTTAATAATGCACACGATATAGTTGCAAGTTGAAAATTCCCACCCAACAAAATACAAGTATATAAATTCTACATCGCAAAGAAACAAACTTACTAAAAGTAATTATTATTTCCAGCAATTTGGTGATCTACTGTATTTCAAAATAATTACAACACTGAAGCAATTACTGATTTTGTACAAAATTGTAAGTATGGAATGAAATGTTTATTAATAATTGCTTTACTAATTGAAGTTACCCCAATTAGGTTGCTCGAGTGATAAAGTAATTGCTATTAATCATTAACCATAGCAAAATACTTGGATAAACAAATAGTTATCATAATCATGATCACCTTTTTGAGGTCAGCTAATTAACTAAATTTTCCTCTATTCTTCAATTAATTTTCCGTGATTATAATAGTATGAATAAAATCTTCGTAAAGAAACTTATCTTCTACAAACAGAACAATTGAAAAATTTTTCATGCGTCATGTGTTCAAACATATAACATATAAAGCTTATGTAATATAAATATATTAATGAAGGTGTTTTGAATAAATTAAAATTAATGGCTTATAATATATATACATTTATTACTNATGCTGTTAAAGTGATCAACTAATCGCTTACTCATTGTAGCTACCCTAGCAACAATTTTACATTGGCCACAGTTAGGCTCAAAATTGGCAAATATGGGTACCATAAGAACATGCACCGAGGGATCAATACTGGGATGTCTAAATTTTTCAATATTGGTCCTAGAATGACTTTGAATATTGGAGCAAGATTCATTTCTATCTAGGACCAATATTGAAAAATCTAGACCTCCTAATGTTTACCCTACATTATAAATCTATAAAGGACCTACTTAAAAAATGATAGTGGTCCATTATTGAAAGTTATTCTCGGACCAATGTTGAAAATATATAGACATTCCAATATTGGCTTGTAGATTGCTGTTTGAGTCACGCGTGTTCAGATCACACCCATATGCGGCTAGGCTAAAAGACCCCGTTGTGTCTGATCTAGACTGAGTGGCAACAGCACGAAGAGTCGATGTCGCAGTTACAAATTGCAAGTCTATTACTAACAGTGTTCCATCTATTAAAGTACGCGTATACCTATGGGGGTGGTTGTTTCTGTCGAGATACACGAGTTCAGATCACGCACGAAAGTCACCTATGTTGAATGTTTGTTGCAGCCTTCTTAGGGCTAAGTTACCGACAATGTCAACCTTCATCTATTGTGAGGTAACTCAAGATAGAATCTAGTTAACATATTTTATATACTAATAAACTGGAATTTAAAAGTTGTAGTGGTAGTTACGCTACAGGCTCCATATTGTAACCCTACAAGGTTTCTATATAGAAATTAACAATGGTCCTTTGTTCAAAACCATTCGAGGAAAAATATAAAAAGTTTTAGACTTCTCAGTAGTAGCCTTATATGGTAAACCTATAAAGATTCTACATACAAATAAATATTTGTTCAGAACATTAATCCATTTTTGGACCTATTATTATAAAACTTATACACCTCAATCTCTGACCGATATCGAAAGCCATTCTAAGACCATTGTCCAGAAATATGTAAGACCATTTTAGACATGTAAATAAGGACTAGTTTTGTATTTACGTCTATTGAAACTGGAGCGGCTTTAAATATCTTAATAATGTTTCCATTCCATATCTAGTTTATTTAAATAAGTGATTTATAACACAGACAAATCTACCTATAACAGATTTTTCTTTTTCACTCACATTCACAAGACATTTTTGATTTTTTCACAATAGCTCAAGTACAATATAACCATTTACCTTTTGAAAAGAAATATTTTTTCTTTGTTTATCTATTAAATTTCTGGTAGTTCATATAAAATTGTCGAAGAAGGGCACAGGAATGAAAGAAAACTTTTGTTAAGCATTATTTATTATGAAATAAGAAAACCACTGCGTAAATACTTTTTCTTAAAACTCTCAGTTAATCCAAATGTCTTGAAAATTAATAAATTTATAGAGCATTTATACACACATATTTTAAAAAGGAAGAAAAAATAGCTTTTACTCATTATACGGCTTTTGGGGGTAATTTCTGGCGTAGAAAATTATGAGATAAAAGGGGCCTTAAAAATTTATTCTTATGATTGCAATATATCAGAAAAATAGATTGAGAAAAGCATTTATTTTTTTCTTTCGAGGTTTTATTTAGCGAAGATAAAATATCAGATTAATCGGATAATTTTAAATAGGGTCTACATTGGATGAATAACGTCCTTAAAACATCGGTTCAGTCGTAAACTTCTATATCGAACGGACATAGGCTGAATAACGGCTATAAAATATCGGGTGAACTTAACAAAACTGTATAGGGCCAATTATTGGATAAATAAGAGCAATAAATTATCGGATCAATTGAGCAATTCTAAATAGGTAAAATAAAGCAAGATATATGTATATATATATATATATATATTTTATATATATATATATATATATACATGCCTTTCACAAAATGAGGGAGAAAATGATACAGAACGAAANTATTATATCAAGGAATATATTGGACGTAAACAATATTTTTACAGTTATGGAGGGAATAGCTAAACGCCATAGCTGCTGATTTTGCTTAATAACAAGCCATACTTTAAATTATTTCTCAGAAAAATGAAAAATATAAAACCTCATTATTAAAAAATAAAAAGGTCAAAATTATATACGGTAATATTTTTAAAAATACATACATTTATTATATTTTAAAGATAGATAATATTTTAAAGATACATTTTTAGAGACATATTTGAATAGTTAAGTTTTTAAGTTACGTGAAAAAACAAAATTGCTGACACATTTCCCCGATATTATTAATAAGTGAAATTATTAATTAGTGAATAATAAATTATTAATAAGTAAAATCTGCCAAATTATGTTTTTCATATGACGTTACGTTTACATTTTTCTTTTTTGCTTTTCTTAGTTTAGTTTATTAGATGCAGTACTAGAGTAGTATGTCCTGGCGAATAACAATAATATTACTGCTTCTGTTGCTGATAAGTTATATAAAGTTTTATACTAATTAAATACATCGTGAAATACCAAATGGTAACGAAAAAATACTGTTATTCCGCAATAGATCCTTAAGCCACGAAGAAAGTAATTTAAACAATTTAGTTTATTTAAAAACAAATTTACTCACTATATATTTGTGAACATATAAATTGCGTCAGTCAGAATTATAGAAATCCTGCTTCAAAATCACTTTTTTACAGCTTCATTAGTTTTCCAGCAGATATATTTAAACTATATTCATATAACAGCAACAACATATTCATTAATTGAATAAATCAACAAAACATAAAATTTTTCTGTGGTTATTTTCTTTTCCATAAACAAACAGTTAAGTTAAAATTTATTGAAAAGCAAACAATACCATTATATACCAAACATGTCCAAAATAAAGAATTTTCAACTTTCTTTTGTTATGCTTCTCAAAGTTTATTTAAACTGAAATACTGATTTTTTTTCATTAAACAAAATAAAATTCTGCATAATTATAAGCTTACATGTTTATCCTTAATAATCACATTTATAACTACTAATTTGAAATAAATCCTTGTAAGGAATGACTCAAAATGACGTCTTTAAATACAATCTTCATGGAAAATAAGACTTAAAATAAGAAAAAAGGAACATCGGAATGTATTTAATCATTTGAAATAGAAAAGTTCACAGCAAATGTTGTTACCAAATGACTTTATCTTTGATGCGATTTCTGACAACCTTTTGAATCCTCTTGGCGAGAAAATATAAGCTTTTAATCCTAAAAGAGTAATCTTCTAGGATCAAAGCGTCACTTATTACAACTGAACCCATAATTTGCTGTAATATCCACTTCCATCGATATTGAAGCATCGCTTATGAGACTAATAAATAATCAGGGGGTGCATAATTACGTTCCATGGCGGCTAAAATATTAGCCATTTTGATAAAATGGGTTTTAAATCTAAAAGACTGAGATCACATTTTTTTAAAAAGAAGGAGGGCTTATGAGTAAGTTTAAAACTCGTCTGGTATAAACAAATTATGCTAAATAACATTAATTACTTTACTGATAAATATAAAAAAGACATTTTCATGAAAATAAATATAAAAGCAAATTATTTTTAAGTTATTTATAAACAGTGCAAGATTTGCACAAATATAGTGGAATAACCTAAATATCAAATGTTTGAAGGGTAATGTTAAAAGTTCAATAAAAACATTAGTTTTGGTAAAAGTAAAAGCATCTGAAGCATTATTTTTATATTATATTTTTAAAAATACATAATCGCTATTTAAATTCTTTCAAATTAATACTGTCTTATTATTATTTTTGAGAGGATTTCTGATACTATTTATTTTTATTTAGAATGGAATATTTTTCTTAATCTAGGAAAAAGAGTAAACAACACTTATAGAACTGTAATTTTTTAAGTAACTAGAATAAATTATATATATCGAATAAAATAGTGATTTTAATAATTATTCTATAATAAAATTTATATGACATCGTAAGGGATAAAGCGTCAGTGTGTTGTTGCTCCATTTTCACAAAAAACCTTCATCCTATCTCTGTCAAGTAGTAACGTAGCACTTCATTAGCGTGCTATGTTCGTACTTCCTTTAATCTCTGGCCTAATTAAGTACTTATTTAATAAAAAGAAGAATATCGCGGAAATTTAAATAATTAATATTAATTTGTTAGTAAGATATTAATATAGTTTTTATTTTTATTGATGCTTTAAACTCATATCTGTATTATTCCATTTTCTTTTGCAAGTATAGATAATGCAGTCTCATTTTTTTCATAAATATTAAAATATTGCACCAAATCCACAAATATTTTTACGCTGTTTATTGACGATATGAAGTCACATGTCGCAGTTATTTTTTTTTCAAAATATTAATAAGTATGTTATAGATATCACACCTTAGGTCTGACATTTTAGAATTGCTGTCGTAATTTAAACGTAAAAATATCAACTTCATCGGTATGAATTTACTCAAAACTAGCTTATTTATATTTGTTTTCAATTTTCTTTTTATGATTTATTGCGTAACAATAAGAACTTAAACTTTGTCATAAATCATGTAACTTTTTCAAGTTATCTCCTCAAATGCATTTTCTCAATTTTAAGAAAAACTATAATTAGTTTTTTTTCTTCCTTTTTTATATTTTTCTACCAGGTAATATCTCTTGTTTATCAATTTATAATAAACAAAAAAAAATCAAAAAATTTAAATTATTTTTCTTCTTTTTATGACCTATTTTAACAACTATCGATTATTGTATTTAATGTTTTACCGCGAGATAAGGATTGGTAAATTGATTACTTTAGAATAAATGATGTCTGCGTGCCATACAACATGCAAGCCTCATCCGTAGTATTAATCAACTACAAATGCATTAATAACATTATACCCAAATCTAGCAATCACTCGAAACTCTGTTCTATTTGCGATTGACAAGAGAAACGAGGCCAGACAGGTACGCTTCCTAAATCCCAAAACTCAGTCCCGGAAACAGGATCCGTGTCAAGCACATACTATAGATGTAATTGATGCGGGTGATCTATTAGTTCGAGTGATTGCCCAATCCATTGGTGCACCCAATTGACAGGACACACTAACATATACGTGCTGAGATGACAAACACATAGAAATTGTAAATTGAATGGCTGTGAACACAAACCTACGGCAGATAGAACAAAGTGGGATGGTGGACCTGGACCAATATCGTTGACAGCGGCACAAGAATAATTCCCTTGAGTCGCGACGGTGACTGGCTTCAAGAGGAGTAAGGGCCCTGTTTCATTCAAGATCTGGTTACCTTTGTGCCACTCAAACATTGAAGATGTTGGATGACCCAGATCCAAGACTCTGCATTCTAGTGTAACCGATCTTCCCTTCACTGCTAAATCTTGCTGCTGGAAAATGGTTGAAGGACCCGGAGTGACTGAAATTTTATAAAGTAGAAAAAAAAACTGAATAAATGGCACATAATTTTGTATTTATAACAAAATGTTGTTTTAAATGTACATTTAAATTTTTTGGATTAAAAAATAAAGTAGTTTTGAATATGCATTTACTATTAAACACAAATATTTACGCAGTTTAAAGGAATTCTAAATTTCAAATGCTTCATAGTTTAAGTTCTTGAGGTTGTAATATCAGTATAAAAAAAAGTAAGTGATCAATAGATATTATTTTTAGGATATCTTTGCTTAAATTAGTTAATTTCATACCGTGAGAGTTAAGTGAAGAATGTTACAAGTAAAATTTTTCTTAAATTAATTGGAATTTTTAAAAAAATAGAGAAAAATATAATAAAAACCATCAAAAATTTAATACAGTAAAAAAAAAAAATAATACCCAAGAAATCTTAAATTTTTGAAAAAAATTGTCACTTAGTCTTCAACTAAGCATTTCCATCTTTTCTTCTCCTAATTATTTCCCTACTGCAACTCATTATTAGAAATTATGAAAAATTGAAGTAACCAAATTTACAATTAACTCTCATTTTGTGCACGTGGCACACGAATACGTGGAGGGCTTCCTCAGAGTTTATCATGGCACATTATCCTACGAGATTTTCCTAAGAGAGCTAGGTGCCTAACGTTTTTGAAAACTATATGCGCATTTATACGTATTATCACGGATAACGTCTGCCCATACCACTTTCAGTCCAGTTTCAAGGAGATGGGAATTTTCAGTCGAAGCTTATTTTCCCTGGCTCAGGTTAACGCTGATATTTACTTTGAAATGCTGAGTCTGTAAATTTATTAAATAAGAATTTTTAGTATTTTTGTAATTACCTTAAGATTAAAAATGTCAAAGTTTAGACCATTTATATATTTATATATATTAAGGCCGACAGCTTCTGATCATACCATTTTAAGTCTAGTTTCAAGGATAAGGGAAATTCCTGCCTTAGCTTTTTTGCACTAGTTCTAGAAACAACATTCGCTATGTTGTAGCTGTAAATTTATATTACAGTATTTTTGCTATCCCCTTAGTGGTAGAGTACCCTTGACGTCAGGCTAACTATGGGAGGTTTTCGTGGTTTTTATCTCTATTTAACTTCTTAGTTCCATCAAAAAGTCCTCTACGAAAATAAATCTCTCCCAATACTTGATCCAAGAGTTACCTTGCCTTCTGTAATCGGTTCAAAATTATATGGCTAAAGAGTTGGATATTAGTGATCGTAAACCTAAAATTGGGTAGGCAGTTCAGTCGCGGTTATGAAATAAAATAGAATAGGCTTATTTAAAATATTCAGGGTTGGAAAACAGGAAAAAACAAATTCTGCTAGATTTGAATTTTTAAAAATTTTTTTTTACTCACAGTGTACAATTAACTCTTCAGATTTTGGGCGGTGGCTCCATCCTGCAGCGTTCAGTCCTTCGCATGAATAATTGCCTCCATGATGCCGAGATGCATGCCTTATCTGTAAAACAGATTCAGTAGTTTCGTTTACCAACTCATTGTTTCTGTACCACCGGACAGATGTGAAATTACGTGGATTTCCATCGATTGCTTCGCATGTTAAACTAACAGCAGAGTTTTCACCTCCTTCAGAGACCATAGATGACGAAATCTTCAACCTCACAATTTGGGGATCTAAGAATAAAAATATACTTTGAAAAAGAATAAAATAAAAACCAAAACTGTAAGACCTGTTCAAAAAGCACTCCATCATGATATCTGGCAATATATATTGGTGATGAACTTCATATTAACCCTTCGACGCAAATTCTTTATTAAACGTATTTTTTATACTTGTCGTCATTATTTAGTATTAATTTAGATCAAATAAGTGAAAAATATTATAGTTAGCATTTTAATAATTTATGGATATGAAATACAGCGTGAAACACAGGAGTCTTTTTCTGCTTTAAAAGTAAAATCTTTCAAACGCGGCTCGCATCCAAATAATATTTTTTCTTTAAATTAGCACTCTTTTTGATGTAATAGAAGCAGTAATTCATCATTGATACTTATTTAACTTATAAAATTACTGATTGATAAATTTTTGAATCTGAATAAAAAAAAATTCATACTACTTTCTTTGGATTTCATATTTTAGTATAAATATAATTCCGATAATCTAACAGATATTTTTGGATCTTTTAAGACAGATATTTATAATTAAAAAATGCCAAAATTTTTTTTTTGTAATCAGAGAATCGGAGGAAATGCATAATAGTGACAGTAGTGTCTGATCTGCGTCAAATGGATAAAGATACACTAGAACATGCTTCACTAACCTATCTTCTACGGTTGTACTGTCCACATATTTCACCACATCTTTATCTGTCTGATGCCCATTGCTTCGCTTCTAAATAGTTTTGTTTATCAAATTTTGAGGAATGTTTTCAGTGTAGAATATTAACGCATTAACCAAAATTAAATGCGACGATATTTTTGACTCTCTCTGTCCATCTTTTTCATAAAATAAAAATCTAAATACTTTTATTTCCACGCGTTTACAATTAAACGTCCTAACGTGGTATGATTCTGGAAAAATGAGTTGAGCTTAAACAAAAATTTATATCCTCAAATAGTAGCTAAGACTATTATCTGACTTATTTTACATACCAATACAAAGTATGGTTGGGTACTTTCTGAGTAAAAATCGCATGAGTGGCACATAATATAGTTCAAGTACGAATGGCACGCACAATATCAAATTTTAAAGGTCTTCATCACTGATAAATGAAGTAAAAATTATCCCTTTAGCGGAAAAAGCCGAGATAGGTAGGCCATGGTCACAAAAGGCGTCTCTCTCGAAGAACGTTAAATCTTTTACTGGAGAATCGATGATTTCATTCTTATGCTTACTTGCCAAGATGTATTTCCTGATAAAGTTTGTTATTTTTTATCTAATTAATTTGGCGTTAGTTTATATTTTTGCTGCTATAAATATAATTCAGCTACTAGGCATTTTAATTTGAATAATATTTTGAGTTCAACTTTATGTAGTATATAATATTAATTTTATGGCGTCTATTTGTTTTTATCTTTTGTTTGCATAATTTGTTTACATTCAAATTTTTTTAATTATTAAATCCTTTTAGCTTTAATCTTCAGAACCATAATAACGTGTAATTGGTCGCAACCTTAATAAGATAATAATTTGAGTCGTGTTCCAATCAAAATGAGCTATATTAGATAATCAAGAATAAGAAGACGCTATACCATTGGAGAAATTTTCCATTGCAAATTCTCTTTCACTTCCATAAGCAATTTAAAATTTAAAGCATGGAAAAAAATGAGTGCAAGCAAATCAAGCCGTGATGTTTCAAATACTGTAAAAAAAATTCAAAATATCAAAAAGCTAACAAAGTATTGGAACAAAACTTCCCCATTGCGTAATTCAAAGCCCTTATCGTACAATCGTAATATACTGATTCGTACCATTTGTTTTCATTTTAAAATTTTTAAAATACTTTTTTAAAATTTCAATGAAAATTTTAAAATTTTTTCCCTGAAATTTTATATTATTAATGACAGTGAAAGAGAATTTGTGATGGAAATTTTCTCCTGTCGTGCAGCGCCCTCTTAAGAAAGATTAAATTTCCTACTAAAATGGTACGGCTTGACATTTTATAAAGGTTCCAAACTGAGTTTTACAAAATTATGGTTCCTTACATTGCATATAGATTAGATTACCAATAGTTTCTGGGATAATTTTAAATTATTTCACAGCTTAAACGACTCATTTATTTTTACATTTCTATGACTTTGACAACACCAAACTTCGTAAAAAAATACTTCATCAATATAAAAATATAAAAAATGTGCAGAGCGTTGATATCTAATCCGATTAAGATAGTTTGGGGAAACTATTCGAAAGTTTTCATAGACAGCATAACAAAGCGCTGCGATGGTATTTCCTCATTATTTACCTTTTGACTGATTAGAGGACCGGCGCCTGTAACCTGAGATCGATTAATCTTCAAGCGTGGAGATTTCTTTTTCCTCTGAAAAAACTATCTTTTTTTTTTAACGAAACAGTTTTCCTCAATAAACTGTAACTTGATAACAGAAGTGCTGAAAAAGTTTTATCTGACCAAAAAATGAGAAATTTCGATGTTAAAGTGTTTAAAAAATATTTTATCATTTAAAAAGTCATTTATTATAGATATCTACTTAAGATGTTTCTGAGAAAGATAATTTAAGAGTTCACAGTGTTAATAAAACGTAATTAATGAGCCTTTAATTTTTTTTCATTCTCGATTAGGAAATTAGCACTCAAATTGTTACAAGTTTGCATTAATTACACGAAATTAAATCAACATCAGGAAATTAATTATATTTGTCAATGAAACTATAAGTGTTATCCAATGTAGAAATTTCGATATAACCGTAGAAGTAATTATAGATTCATTTTGACTGTAAAATAACTGAGAAACACATTTTAAAATAAATCTAATTAATATTTGAGAAATATCTTTTTATATTTAAGAGTTATATTTAAGTAATTTCAGCAATTAAGATGTGTAAATCTGTATAGCAAAAATGACTTAGTGGCTTAAGTTTTTTTTCTCTTTAAATCTTCCGAATATATCAAAAAGATCTATTCTATGCCATTAGCTCAATTTTATTTTTACAGCTTAAGGTAGATTATTAAGTTATTTCATTCATTTGTGATTTCAAATATCTTTTCTAAATACTTAAAACCTAGATAAAAAAGAAGCTTTAGATTGATTAATCTAGCTATGAAACTATAAGAGAGTTTATATCTTTTTGATTTCATCCTTTCAAATTTCTTGATACTAGAACAGTTTTCTCAGAAATTAAGTGGGATAGAAAGTTTGAAGTGTAAAGATCTTTTAAATACCTAGTAGGAGTTTTAGCCAAGCATGCCTTCTTTTTGGTGCAGTGACATATATACCCCCAGTTGATTTAGGCTATTTTTACAGGTCTTAATTGGTTGCTTACCTTGATACCAAGTCATCAATTACAGAGCTATATATCAGCTGAAAAGGTTGTCACAAAGCTGTTGACATTGCTAACACATTAAATTCTCTGCATCGGATGCTTCATTTTTTTAGAAACCATGGATGACGTCAGGCTAACTATGGGAGGTTTTCGTGGTTTTCCTCTCCATGTAACGCAAATGCGGATTAGCACCATCAAAAAGTCCTCCACGAAGGTACATTTCTCCCAATACTTCAACCAGGGGCTCACTCGCTTTCTAGATTGAGTTCAAACTTACAAGGTTAAGGTCAGTCATATTGGTCTTTAAATAATTACACATATATATTACGGTTTATATTACAATAAGTTCATATTACAGTTACGGTNTTCATTAGAATATACAGTTATGTTTACTTATGGAAAGTGGACTCGGCTTAATGACATGTATTCAGATTTGCGCTAAACGGACATAATCCAATTAAATTAATTGTCAGTATATCCTACTCCTCTTATTAATGTTATCATCTAGGAAATGATAGCACATTTTCGCGTTTGCTAGCTTGCATTTATGCCTTTGATATAAATCTGTACCTTCTTTATTAAAACTTTTATGTTGAAAATATTGCACTAAATTCCACATCTGCACACGAAAAAATAGATTCTTTAATAAAAAAAGTGCAAAATAAATTTCATTGCGTAAGTTGTAAGTAAATATATTTATGTATAAGAGATAGGAAGGAAGGCACAAGAATCGAAACTTACAAAGAACATTTAAGACGGCTGCAGTAGTAGAATTTCCTCTTCCGAATGCATTTCGTACGTGGCAAGTATAAACTCCCGAATCATGTCTAGACACGTTATAAAGTGCTAGAACAGCGGATAAGGGATGCCTTGTTTCTAGCCGTTGTGTTGTATCTCTTTGCAATAGGTTTCCGTCTTTATACCAAACTATTTCTGTCACGTCTGGTGGATTTGCATCAAAAACGCATGTAATATTTACTATCGACGTTTCTTGCATTGTGACTGTTCCGTCTGGTGTTACAAACACAGCTGGTGGGTCTGAAACATATGGAAGCTATATTTAGGCCAATATAAAAAAAATAATAAAATATATTTTAGTTCTAGGAATTCTAAGTTGTAGACCGGGAATCAATAGTGGTTCATCTTTGAATAACACCATAGTTTTAAAAGTATTTATTTCTTCCGCGAACGAATGACATTTATTTATGTTCCGTTGTTTAAAAAAATGCACGAAGACATACTTTTAAAGATGTTATAGCTAAGTTCATTCTTACTAAAAATGCGTATTGACATAAAAGCGAAAAATAAACTTTTTTTAAATTCAAATACATACAAAAAAAAAACTTTTGTAAATAAGCATGCGAGAAGGTAGTAAAGTGTTGATTACCGATCTCTGAACATTTTTTATTCGTGAAATAAATTTGGAATGGAGGTTAAAGGCAGTAGACTTCAATATAATTGGATTTTTTTCTTCGAATATTTGATCGCTATAAAATAATGAAGTTTGAACTTAGTCTCATTTAAGGTTGATGTATCATTTTTGAAACTATATGATACTCAAATTCGACTATATTTCGTTTTGGAGCTATATGGAATCTCTCTCGTACTCAATTTTGAGAAACCCTTTATTGCAGTGATGGAATAAAGCTTTTAGTGCCTATCACTTTCAAATATAAATCAATCTGAAAATGAAAGTAATGTGCTTAAAGCTCTAACCTCACTAGTTGTTGATGGGCTCTGTTAAAAAATATCATAAAAAATGACAACTTTCTTCTCATGGAGAATTTAAGTTGCAATCTCATGGGAAAACACGGTTTATTAGTGGAAAGTTTAGCTTTGAAAAATCCAGAACTTATGCTGTTCTGCTATTATTGAGTGTTGCCACTTTGCTTTTAATGGGTAAACAATTTAATACCAATTATGACATATACTCATCGCCAATTATGAAATACACTCATCAATAGCAATGAAATCACTCATCACCGTTGAGTGTTACGCAGAAATCTTCGTGGATTTTTCTACGATCTGAGAATTTTTTTCCACAAAGCTCAAATGTGGTTTTGTGAGGATAGAGCGCTCTCCTTCCAGTGATGTGAACCGGGTTCGCATCCTAGCTTTGTCTGGTCGATACACATTCCGCAGTGATGATGTAAAATATCCTCAGTGGTAGACAGATCATGGGTGAGAGTCCCTTTACCATCAAGCTAACCATGGGAGGTATTCGTGGTTTTCCTCTCCATGCAACCCAAATGCGGTATCGTTGTATTAAAATGTCCTAAACGAAGGCATATTAATTCTAAGACTCATCCGGAAGTTCCATTGTCTTCTTGATTGGATTGAAAATTACAAGGCTATGGAGTTGAACATTGGTAGTCGTAAACTCAAATTTTNGGTATTCGTGGCAACGAAGGCATATTAATTCTAACGAAGGCATATTAATTCTAAGACTCATCCGGAAGTTCCATTGTCTTCTTGATTGGGTTGAAAATTACAAGGCTATGGAGTTGAACATTGGTAGTCGTAAACTAAAATTTGCTCAGCTTCTCTACGACGTTTATAAAATAAATAAGGTTTGGTACCCCTTAGAACAGTTTAGAAAGTTTCCCCCTCTGATCTAAGGTCAATTCCAAATTACAAGGACAAGGAAGTTTATGATATTATCTCTAAATTTAGTCGCGTAAAGAATGTTTTTTGAGGTAAAATAAATATTCCAAGCTAGGTTTTCACTTACTATATATCTCTCTCGGTATTTTGAAGTTAAAATACTTTAATATACAATAGTCAGAAAGTCTAGAATTTATCGTTGGACGTTCTAAAATCTGTTCTAAAATAAAGTTCTCAGTGCCCTAACCCTTTCAGCCTAAAAGTGAAAGTAATGCACTATAGAAGAAGCTCTAACCTCACGAGTATTAGATGGACAATATTCGCCATTTCCTTTTCATGAAAAGCTGCAACTTTCTTCTCACAGAAAAGTTAAGAGAGATGGAAGAGAGAAAGAGAAACGCAGTTTAAAAGTTGGAAAGTTAGCTTGGAACATTCCAGCACTTATCTTCTGACAGTGATCGAGTGTTTGTGGTACGGTCTCAGCTGGGGGAATTGAAAAATGGTGAAGGTATCATCTTTCAATTCTCTCTTAACCAAAGGAAAAAGAGAGAAAAAAATGAGAGATATTTTTGAGGTATTTCCTTCTTCAATAAAATGGTTATTTTAAGCTTTCAATCATAATAGAGGATCATGACCGATTGAAGTATCTCAAAGTTTAATCTCAGCCAAAGCATTGTCGCGAAAATAAATGATTGTGGTGTTCAAATAACAATGCGGCGTTAAAAGTAATTAAATTGTTTCAGTTTTTGTTTTTTATTTGTTAGTATTTCTTAGTAATTTGTTTAGTATTGTCTCATAATTCTTGCTAACATAAAGCCCGTTAGCAACGACATATATCTCATGATTTTATTATCTGAAAATATCTGTATTTGTCCAAATTAAAAAGGATTTGTGCATTGTGCTGCAAATAAATGAACCTAAGGAGAGTGAATACGCAAATATTTTAACAAAATGATGCATACTGCATATACTGAAATCTTCTATGCTGAAACACATTACTGAAGAATTTTTCAGTGCCCTTATCATCATACTCGGCAAAGATGTTCTTGTTTATAGAGTCTAAATCAAATTAGTTAGTGCCCTTAATTACGCTTCATTCTCTTTTTTTCAGCATTATTTATTTGAATTTGGTTTTGAACTATTTGATAATGGATGCGGATTATTCTAGACATCTCGATTATTATTAAACAATACGTTGACTACGTTTGCAAACATTTTCAATAGCTGAATCTTAAAACAACACTTAAAGTAAAGTATCTGGAGGGAGCAATTACGGACTCAGAAGGTCTTTGCAAGACTTCTTTCATTTTAATTTTGATCGGCAAGAAAATATGGATATATTTCACAAAGGAACTTTAGAGATATAGATAATTTTCTGACAAATTGATCAGATTAAGAACAAAGTTTCCCATTTGGTTTTAAGATAGATTTAGTTTTTAGCAACAAATCCCATCATTCAATCAGCGTAATAAAGAGTACATACAAAATAGTATACATTAGGTTCATGCAAAGAAGAACACATACGCGTAGCAATACCTATTCATGACAGCTTGCCAAATATAAACCGATTAAAACTGTTTAAAAGAAATTGTTGTAAATCTCATATTTTTTATCATTCCATTGTTTGTACTTCTTGTTTTAACGTCACATTCTAAAACTGTTGATTTTTTTTATTATTTTTTTTTATCGTGTTAACGAGATTTAATGAATAGTGTTACTAAATTATCGCATGTGTGTATATTCTATTACCCATTAGTTTTAAAATTTTGGAAAATAAGCTCAAAAAGTTACTATCATAAACGAACATTTCTCATTTAATAGATTTAAATGTTTGTATGTATTACAAGGCAAATGCCTGTCAAGTCTTTCTTAATTTATATTAAAATATTTCTTTAATGTAGAAAAAAATCTCTATATGGCATTGGGATTTTCTAAAAAAACTAATCCTTTTCTTTTTAGTTTTAACAACAATCTGGAATAAATAAAAATATTTTATTTCTTTTTTTAATTCTGAAAGTCTCTGAAAGAAACTCACTTTTATCAAAATAAAAAAAAAACACTATTTGATCAATACAGTACACCCATTAGTTGAAAAGTGACCCCTAGGGTGGTATAAATGGAGTTTTGTCGTTAAAGTCCACACATGCAGTTCACTCGCTTTAAAATATAGAGCACACAGCGCAGCCATCGGAGAGTTTTATTTCTTCTTTTTACATTTAATACCTTTCAAGAAAATGTGGACTAGAGCATTTAATATAAAATGTACTGTCAAGAAAAGTTAAACTTTCTACAAATTCTTTGGGATCAATTGATTGCAAGAAAGACTTAGGTTGGTTCTATATACAAACTGATTTCTTTAATTTTTTTTTTCTTCTTTTTTTCGTAATTTCAGTTTTCTTAGTTTTTAGTCTTAGTAGAGGGAGAAAAATTTAAGCAGTTTCAAAATTATTAGATGCTGCTATATAGTTTATATTGAGTAACATGTGTATGAAAAAGTATAGCAATTTGTTTTTTTTTCTCTTCTTAAAGTTTGGAATTGTTAGTTTTTTTGAACAAAGCAACTGCTCTATAGAAATTAGTTTTTTCCGTAGTAACGAATAATAATATATTTATTTAGAATTAAAACAGCTTACTACACTTACACACTACAATTATTTTTTTCTAAAATTTGAGTGTGAGTTTTAGGCATTTAGTATGTATGCAAAATAATTGCATGATTGTTGAAGCACGTACAATCCAGTCTCGCAAATTCTAATAGAAATTAATTTGTTTTTATTTTTTACATTCACATATTTAATTTCTTTTTGGTATTCTGTTCCATTTTAACGAGTACAAGAACATTTTGTACTTATAGTCTATCGCTAATAACACTCATGAGTATTTTTCTCACTTATATCATCATTTAGAAATTCATATGCATCTATTCATCATCTCGTAACACTTCATTTCAAGTTATAAAACATATTTTTTTAAGATTACAACACTTCGAAATAAGAAAATTCAATAAGTTATATAAAGTTATTTGAATGCTCAAAATTATGTAAATGCATAAAGCTGTGTTAAGTCTTTGGAATGCTTTCAAATGGTTAATTAACTAAATGTTTAATGAACCCATATGAAATATGGTTAATTAACTAAATGTTTAATGCTCCCAAATGTTTATTGTTGTCACAAATGTTGCCAAAAGTCTATGAAACAAAATCAGAATTTTTGTCAGAAATGATCTCAAATCCCTCACCTGCGATCTATCACTTCTTGGAAGTAGAATTTATAGAATAATAAGTTGAAAGTGTTTTTGAAAAAGTGGTTAAGGGGAGTCGATAGGGCATATGCCAATAATACTAAAACTGACCTTCTTTTTCTCAGCATCTGAACTAGACCTTGCTTCATATTTTTTTCCACAGAATATTCACATATACATGTTTACACGGTGA